TCTGATGATTCTCTGATAATTTTGTTCCTGTTTGGAAAAACCAGCAATCCTAAGTGGGTCTACTCAGAAGTAAGTCCTGTGTTATGCAGTGGGACTTAATCACAGGAAAGTGTCCTTAGGATGGCAGCCAGACAGTCAAATTGGGCTTGGGGGCTCAGCCACATAACTCCTTTCATTCCATTTTCCTCCTCTTTACCACTCCAAGCTGCCAACTTCCCCTCTCTGGCTTTCCCCACCTTACAGACTCCATCACCGAACCCTCCACCAGACCTCCCTTTTGCTGCCACCTTGTTCCTGCCCCTCCCTGGCATCGTCTTCTTGGCTGTTGGTTCCTACCTTCTGCTCCTGGTCCTGGTCCTGGTTCTCCGACACTGCCTGCTGGTAATTGGGGTGTGGGACAGAGTCTTCTGGTAGGGCAAGGAAATAAAGGATGAATTTGTATGGCTAATTATGTGCTACAGGACTTGGCCTTCCCTATTTGATAGTTCCCAAAATACATCGCAGGAAACATATATGCAGCCTTCAGTTTTTCACTGTGGGCTTGACTTTTCTTCAAGCTACGTTTTGTTAACATGTCTTGGTACTGATCTGGATTACTTTCAACATGCACCAGGTCCATCAAAGACTGATTCTTTGTTTTATTTATACAGTATTCTTACTCCAGTTTTTGGTCCTAAAATCCACAAAACAGCATAATGAAATGTGACGCTAAAAGAAGCACAATTAAATGGATAACATTAAACTATCGATATTGACAAAAACAAGAAGCCAGTTTTGCACATACCAGGCCAATGCTGTGTTCTGTGTCTTCTCTCTTTCCAGGCCCGTGGCCTTTGTGCCAATTGTTGTTCGTGCCAAAAGGGGTCTTTGCCAAGTGTGTGCGAATGCTGTTTGGCCTGTGCAGAGTCTTGTGACTGTGCCCTCCCTTCCCCAACTCGCTGTCTGGATGACTGCTGCCGCTGCACAAATGTGAGTTCTTCCATATGGGGGTAACCAACTAGTTGTTCAGAAATATCCTTGGAGGCAGAAGAGAACGCTGAAATCTCGTGTTGAAAGGAGCTCCCAAGAACATGAAACCACGAGAAGTGGCATTGACACAACTTCAAACATCTTACATGTTCTAGAAGAGGTTTTGATTATTTTTTGTTCAAAACAAAAACAGTATCTTTGCTTTCTGTTGCAGAGATGGCTTACTGGTAGCCTATCGGCTGGATGTGGGTTGGGAAGTAGTTTAACGCAAAGTGGCCAGTAGAGAGCCTAGCCATCCAAGGAGGGATTTAGAAGATAACTGGGGCCTGCTGTCTGCAGAACTGAGTTGCCCCTGATAATGCAGAAGATGGTTGTAAGGAGTTGCAAATTTGTATGGGTTTTCACCAGAATGAGGGGATGCTTGCTAGTGACTGGGCTAGAGGCTAGATTGAAGTTTTGGGATGGAGAGCAGCTGGCCAAAGGCGACCAGGAAGAAAGGCACTTTTTAAAATGGGGAACTGTCGGCTCTCCCAAAAGTTTTTCTCTTGTGGGTCTCTCTTTTTGATTGAATGGGAAATAAAACTGTAAGTTCTAAATCAGATGGCATAAGATCCTGCTTAAGAAAGCATGCCAGTTGAATTACTTCAAGGAAACAGATTTTCTGGAACAGCAGTCTTTGTTATCTACTAAAACCCTAAAATCATATATCGACCAAAATAGCGCTGGCTATAACTTGGAAGAGAGAAACACAGGGATTTGATCGGGCAATTGAGAAGGAGGAGGATTAGAGAGATGCCCACTTCCAAACCCAGGGCTATTTTTGGGCAGGAACTCAGAGGAACGGAGTTCCGTCTGGCTCTTGAGTTGGCCACGCCCAGCAGGAACTCATTAGCATAATAGGCCACACCTAACAGCAGAAACTCATTAGGACTGGCTACATTAGGGGTGTGTGGCCTAACATGCAAAGAAGTTCCTGCTACAAACAAAGCCCTGAGTTTTGACAACAAAGTAAACAGAATAAGAAGCAAAAGGTGAGCACACTTCTGGTAACATGGGGGTGTGGCCTAATAGGCTAATGAGCTGTGTTCTCAGGGGTGTGGCCTAATATGCTAATGAGTTTCTGCTGTTGGGTGTGGCCTATTATGCTAATGAGTTCCTGCTAGGCTTTTTCTACAAAAAAAGCCCTGTCTAAACCTATGTACTTAAATGGATATAACACTGTTTAGGCTTGCACGTTCTCTTTAGTGCTTCCCATGAGCCTCTCTGGGAAGAGCTTGCCTCACAGGTTGAGAAACATGTGTTTCTCACAACCTTGGACATTGGAGGCAGGATAGAAGTGTTTTAAATAAGTTATTTGGGCATGGTACTCATATTTTCCCCTTTGCTAGTACACATCTTTGAATACAACTCCCCCCCCCCCCCCCCCCCTCCTTTTTTTATTCTGTATTTGCCGCCAAATCCCTCTATTTTATGGAAGGAAGTCTTGATGCAGGTGGACTTGCAGGTAAACACGAGTATGGTTTTTCCTCTCTTCCTCATAGGGTTGGGACGTGGGGACTTGCTCCACCCTCCCCAGCTGGTGTCCGCTCTGTGACTGTGCCTGTGCCTACCAGCCCCCGGACTGTCAGAGCATCAATTGCATTTGCTTCGAGATCAAACTGCGATAAGGGGCTCTCGGTCTGAAGATTACAGGAATTATGCCCACGATTTTGGAACATGTGAGGTGTCTTTGCTCTATTTGTGGATCATAAGTGAAGGACTCACCTGACTGGCAAAAAGGAGTCTTCTAATGCAAAGAGACCTGAAAGTTCTTTTTTTCCTCTTCTGATATTTTTTGGTTTTTTGTAATGCCTGTTTGTGATTATTGTTTTTATAAAAGTGACTGCATTAAAAAAAATAAAACGAATTATATATTCCCCTGTGTCTGTCTTTAATGAGAATGGAGAGCGAGGCTATTTGATAGGATTTGGTGTCTGGATTTATGGGAAAGCCAAGCTATTCAAATGAGTTTAATCAAATCAGATTCTTATCTGAAGAAGTGAGCAATGACTCACAAAAGCTCATACGAGACCACAGATTTTGTTAGTCTTTAAGGTGCTACTGAACTCTTACTCTTTTCTATTGAGTCAAGGACCGGTAACCCTGATTTTCCTTCCTTCCTTCCTTCCTTCCTTCCTTCCTTCCTTCCTTCCTTCCTTCCTTCCTTCCTTCCTTAGGGTTTAATCAAATCAGATTCTTATCTGAAGAAGTGAGCAATGACTCACAAAAGCTCATACGAGACCACAGATTTTGTTAGTCTTTAAGGTGCTACTGAACTCTTACTCTTTTCTATTGAGTCAAGGACCGGTAACCCTGATTTTCCTTCCTTCCTTCCTTCCTTCCTTCCTTCCTTCCTTCCTTCCTTCCTTCCTTCCTTCCTTCCATAGGGGTCATTAAACATGTGACTCTTCTCACCTGAAGTGGTACAGTTCATTCCACCACCTCAAAGTTTTCATTCTGACTTTATTCTTCTGCACTTTAGTCCAGAGCAGGGATGGTTCCAGGTTTTTGGGGCACCTGGCCAGGGAGTTCCCAGGGGGCCCCTTCCCCTGTTCTGTCCACCACCAGCCCCCCTGGTCATGCCTTCCTTCTTTCCTTCTCACCTGCTTGTGTGTTCTTCCCTTATCTGCTCAAGAACCCTCCAGTTGCCCTCGCTCGCAATTGCCTTTCCCCAGTGGCACTAGGCAGTGTGTAGGGCTGCCGGCCTCCAGATGGGTGGGACCTGGAGATCTGAAACAATAATTAATCTTCAGGCTACAGGGATCAGTTACCCTGGAGAAAATGGCTGCTTTGGAGAAGAAGAAGAAGAGATTGGATTTATACCCCGCCCTTCACTTGGAGTCTCAGAGCGGCTTACAAACTCCTTCCCCTTCCCCTCCCCACAACAGACACCCTGTGAGGTGGGTGGGGCTGAGAGAACTCTGGCACAAACTGCTCTTTTTCAAGGACAGCTGTGCCAGAGCTTGTGACTGACCCAAGGTCACATCAGCAGGTGCAAGTGGAGGAGTGGGGAATCAAACCCGGTTCTCCCAGATTAGAGGCCGCACACTTAACCACTACACCAAACTGGCTGGTGGAGGGTGGGCTCCCCAGTGCATAACACCTTTGCTGAAGTCCCTCCCCAGCTCCACCCCCAAATCTCCATGAATGTCCCAAACCAGAGCTCGCAACATTAGCAGTTACAGTTGCCAACTCCAGGTTGGAACATTCCTGGAGAGTTTATGGGTGGAGCTTGGTGAGGGGCCTCAGCAAGCTATAATGCCATAGAGTCCACTCTCCAAAGCAGCCGTTTTCTGCAGGGAAATTGATCTCTGTAATCTGGAGATCAGTTGCACTAGTTCCAGGATCTCCAGTCTGGGTCCACCTGGAGGATGGCAGCCCTTCTAGCAGTGTGTGCAGCAGGGACCATTGGGTGGTGGAGTGCTAGAGAGTGTGCAAGGAATAGCACAACTAATATTCAGAATTAAAAATCATTTTCTCCATATCTGCCTCTGAAAGCATTAATCAAAATTAAGTTATATATTCAGAATTTTTTAAAAAAACCTTTAGCTATGCCTGCAGGTAATAGAGAAAAGGGAACTTGGCAGGGAAAGGTTGTAATCTTGAGGGTGGGTGGAGGAAAAATTCTAGATTTCATTAAATTGGCTTATGCAAATGATAAATGAATTTTTTTAATCCTTATGGGGCAGGCACTAGTAATTAAAGGAGTGCTGTAAAGTGGGACCCCAACACAGCCTTTAAGTATCACATTGCATAACTGCCAAATCCCTGATCACCTTGATTTGATGGTTTCAACAACATCTGGACCCTGGGGGAGTTAAGAAGAAACTTCCATCTTGGAATTGGGTGAGCGTGCCCATAGTTAAGATGATGGCATTCCCTTCCCTGTGGCTTCACAGCCAGCTTTGCCAAGCCCCAAGATGGCTACTCATCTCTGGATGAAAGAGGGGGGGGGGGTGCGTTACTTTCCCATCAGCCCTTGTGCAGCCGCAGCCAGGGTTGCGGGCAGAGATTTGAGCGACAGGAGGGGAGGCTGGGCGCTAGAATTCTTGGGTTTGGGGGCTGAAGTGGGAGACGTGGGAACTAGGATGCCTGGGTCCTCTGGGGAGGGAGCAGGGGTTAATAGGCTGCAATAGAGGGAGCTGGAAATCAGGACCGGTGGCATTTCCCCGGGAGAAGCGACGGCATAAAAGCAGGACATGTGCAAACTAGAGGGAAGAGGCTTTATTGTGGCGCTGTTGCGGAGTGGCACGCTGAAGAGCATTTGTAGGGTGCACAGCTGATTTGCTGGTGCATTCAGGGGGGGAAAAGGTTGCTGAGCGGAGTTGAAGGGGCTGCAATGCAGCGTTGGGGTGTCGCGTGAGGACCCTGGGGCGGTGGAGCGTGAGATGTAATGGGGCGAGGGGTTGCATTATTTTAGGGGGTGCTGTTTTGCTTTGGGGTGGAAGAGTTCCTGGGGTGGGAAATCGGTGAGAAGGTCTTGGGGGGCAGATGTGTTGGATGGTCAGAATTTCGGGAGGTTGATTATTTTATGCATTTTATTCTCTGTTGGAATTCTTTCTAGGGCATATACCGATGAACTGGATGGTGTATAGTTTTAGGGCTTTGTAATTCTGTAGAAGGTATTTTTTAAAAAATAAATAATTATGGGTCTGTGTTTGTCATCGTTTGGGAAACATTAGGGTGTGAGTGGGACAGCTCCCCAAAACCTTGGGTCAAAAAACACACTGCCCCTTCCCATTTGGAAGGTCCTCAGTGGAGCTGCTGGGATTTCCTTGGTAAATGGATGGGTGTGTGGGGAGTGAATTCACCAGATGCAACTGTTAATGTTGTAGGGAATTCCTGGTGCCTGGGGATTTCTAAAAAGCTGTATTTCATCCCTGGTGGATATTCCATGGAGTGATTTGATTGTATGGTACATTGAAGGTTACTTGGCAGAATTTTGTCTTTTGAGTACCTGTTTAGCTTTTAATGGAGTAGATCATTGAGGGAAAGCTGGGCTGTAATTCTTGGAGCTCTGTATTGTATTGGAGATGGGAGGGAATTTAGGGGCCACATAAATTTGTGTGACTCTCCATTAACCCAACACTTTCATTTTAGACCGTTGAAGTTCCACTGGTGTTCCTGAGCTGTTTCTTTCAAGTTTGGAAACATACTGTAATTATTGGGGAGGGGGCTCATTTTGGTTACCTGAGGCATGTGAGAAAACTTGAGAGTTAGGCAATACCAAGGAAACATGTTTATTCTGGGGTGGAGTTAGATAATACGAAGGAAATACTTTTATTTGGGATGGGGTGGATTATTTGACAAATGCGTGGGATTTGAGGAAATCAATCCCTGCTGAATGGAAGTTGTGCCCTAAATATTCAACAGGCTGATTTTCTAGTTTGCAACAACTGCGCCCAAGCACTGGGGCGCCTGTATCAGTTTTCTCAAGAATAATACCGTGGAAGGGAGTGGTGGGTCTTCCACCCCCTGATGCTTCTCCAAGCCATGTCGGCTTTTGGGGATGCTCACGAGTGGTATATGGGAGCTCTGAGTCGTCAGGAAGCGGCTGCATGTCTCCAGGGACACCGCCATGGAACCTTCCTGGTGCGGGACAGTACCACATGCCCCGGTGACTATGTGCTCTCCGTCAGCGAGAGCTCCAAGGTGAGTTCTGAGCCTTTGTGAGGAAAAGTTCCTTTTAGGAGGGGAAGGAGGATGGTGCTCAAATGGCTGACGAATTCAACAGAACGGGTGGGGTTGCACGTGAGATAGAGGATAACGGCCCTGCACGTATTGAGACTGAGTGTCGTAGTACAATGACAATAGGCTTCTCTGCCATTCTGTCTCCTCCAGGTCTCTCACTACATCATAAACAGCCTCCCTGGGCGTCTACGGATCGGGGAGCACGAATTTGACGGCTTCCCAGCTCTGCTCGATTTCTACCGCCTCCACTACCTGGACACTACCACCCTGGTAGCCCCCGTGGGTCGGGTGGTGGCCCCTGCCTCTGCCCAGCCCCCTCCCGCCGGCGAGTGGGTGCGCGCCCTCTACGACTTCGTCGGCCGCGATCAGGAAGACCTCCCGTTCTCGAAAGGGGAACCTCTGAGGGTGCTGGCTAAGCCCGAAGAGCAATGGTGGACGGCACAGCGTGCAGACGGGCGAGTGGGAATGATTCCTGTGCCGTACGTCCAGCCCTGCCCGTACGCTCACCCCAGCAGCCACGGTGCCCCTCGCCATGCTCCGGTAATCGCGAGAGCAGTGCAACGAAGGGTGCCGGGGGCCAACGACAAGACGGCGCTGGCCTTTGAGGCGAGTACTGAGAGTCACACTGAGTGTTTCAGAATCCAGAAAGTTAGGGCAGTTGCATGGGGGAGGTATGCTGGAACGGCCTGAGTCTGCAGTAATGGTGGGCAGTGCCTTCGGCGCTAGCTTTCCTCACGCCCCGGGACAAAAATCCTGAATAGGTCTTGCTAATTTAACCTAATTCAGGTAAATTATTTGAAGTGGCACACCCGCCTTTGCAGAATTTTTGGTGGAGGGTTGCAAATCTGAACACTCGGTGAAGCAGTGGAGGGACTGGGAGAAGGAGGGGAGACCTAGTGCATTTGCTCGGGCAAAGGGGGAAATGATTTAAACCCATGTGGAATGCAAAAGGCCCAAGCAATCTCTTATTAGACTCTTCCCCCACCCACCCAAACCTCCCTTACTGGTTAACAACATACTCTCTGTGATCGTGCATGTTAGGAACTTTGAAATCAAACAAATAGGGGCAATTGGGTTTTGTCACTCCCAGCCATCAGATACTGTGAAACAGATAACATTCCTGGGTAGCGATATCGGACTCATGCAGATCTGATACAGCCTTGATCCTTGTTCAAAATGACAATGAAGGGTGAGGATGTGAAGCTGCAGCCGATTGGGTGAAGGTGTGTACAGAAGACGGAATTGTATGGGAAAAGATAAGATGGGCAGTCTTCCTGTGCCGGGGGGTGGGTGGGTAAGGGGTTGGGGGTTGGGAAAATGACCTTCTCTCCTTTCTAACCCCCAGTGTCTCGTTGGTGCTCTACAGGTGGGTGACCTCATTGCTGTTACCAAGATGAATGTCAACGGCCAATGGGAGGGGGAGCTGAATGGGCGCCGTGGCCACTTCCCGTTCACCCACGTCAAAGTCCTCGACCCCGAGGAAGCCAGCTGAGCGTGTTTGGTGTAACCCTTGAACTTTTTTATTTCCCCTGAGGAGGTCACAACTCCTGAACTCTGACCCACACCTGTGAGCTTCTGGCCATCTTGAAACCCATACTTCCTGACACAAAAAAACCCTTGAATTTCGACCTTCCCTAGAGGATGTTACGGAGCATCTGTTCATTGACGCTCAGCTGCTGGCATACTGACGGCTTCTACCACCTCGAACTCCTTGTCTTCTAAAGATGGCTCCCTGACTCACTCACTGTTCTTACATGCTGTGGTAGTTGACCTTCCGAACATTGACCTTTTATAGATTCCATCATAGTTGTTCGCTAGGAACTCTGACCCTTTGGCCTTGTGATTTGAAACTTGGTTATGTGCCCTTGAATCTCGCAGTTCGAAATCCTGTGACCTGCCCCCATAAGCTGTGAGCCTTTATTGCTGATCCTTTGGGCCTTTGGTTGTTGACCTCTTTTACTTCTTTGTGTAATTTTGTTTTTGTCGTTGTCGTCGACTTTGCTCGCATGGGGCAGAGAGAGTGCTTGGCTTCGGTGGAGGACGGGAATCCCGCCCCACTTGTTTCTTCCCGACTGCCTTGTTAATTAAAAGTTTCCTGCTAAGCTATTCTGTGCCGTTATTTACTCATTCTGGGGAAAGGGGGCAAAGGGTGTGGGAGAAGAGGGGTGGTGTTGCTACGGTAACCGGCATCATAATCCAGGCCTAGAGCGTCGCCATGGTAAACTGGATCCAAGCCTGTTGCTGTAGGCAGCAGAGAGACTCGAAGCCGTTTGTACCAAGGCCTCTTTGGGGCTTCTTGGTTTCCACATGTGGTCTCCATGGTGTTTCCACTTTTCATTTTTCATCTTATATCAGCAGCATCTGTGTAAATAGGTATGGCATAAGGTTGCTAACTCTGTGTGGGGAAATTCCTGGGAATCTGGGGGAGGGGATATCCTGAGGAAGGCAGAGTTTGGGAAAGGCAGGGAACTCAGCAGGATATAATGCCACAGAGTCCACCCTCCAAAGCAGCCATTTTCTCCAGAGGAACTGATCTCTGTAGTCTGGAGAGGAGCTGTAATTCCGTGAGATCTCCAGGCCCCACCTGAAGGATGGCAACCAATGTTCCCTCTAAGCTGTGGGACCTTGTGAGCAAAAATTCTACTTTGTGAGCGACTGGCATTAAAGTTGTGAGCGAGCTGTTTGGCGACCGCATCAATTAGTTTGCTCTGGAGCCATCCTTCCTGAGCTAAGACGAAAATCTGTGAGCCGGAGGCTAAACAACTGTGAGCTAGCTCACACCAACTCAGCTTAGAAGGGAACACTGGAGCCTTCCTTCCTGAGCTAAGACAAAAATCTGTGAGCCTGAGGCTAAACAACTGTGAGCTAGCTCACACCAACTCAGCTTAGAGGGAACACTGATGGCAACTCAGGGCAGCACATTACTGAGTGTGCTGGTTTCCTGGATGGCAGAACCCCACTGTCCTTACCTTGATACATTATCTAGCAACACTGTTGGTATAACCAGAATGTCAGACTTTCCAATATCATGCTGTTTGAAGGATAGGTTTGTATGGCACAGAAAAATTAGGTTTTGTTTGAATACAGGTGTGTTATAAATAAGAGAAAGGCACGGGTGTGTATTATTTTATACGTAAAATTATAAGGCTGGTTCAGCGAGTGGTGTCGGTGTTTAACTCAACAAGATCTGGCGCCAGGCAGTGTTCCCTCTAAGCTGAGTTAGTGTGAGCTAGCTCACAGTTTTTTAGCCTCCGGCTCAGACATTTTGGTCTTAGCTCAGGAAGGAGGGCTCCAAACCAAACTAATTTAATGCAGTAGCCAAACCGCTTGCTCACAACTTTAACGCTAGTAGCTCACAAAGTAGAATTTTTGCTCACAAGACTCCACAGCTTAGAGGGAACTTTGGTGCCAGGTGGTGTTCACTCACTTTTACTTCACAATCAGAGCACTGGAAGAAGGCGACCCAAAGGAGGTGGGGGTTTCTGCATACTTGCAGGAGGAGGTCCCTCAGGCATACAGAAAAAATGTGTCTTTCTAAATCTGAAAAAGATTCCCCATGACCTGGGGAAAACAGAATGTGCCCTAAAATCGTGGAATGTTGATGACAGTTGAGGGTCATTGAGGGGGGCAGAGAAGAGAAGAACTTAAAAGAGTACCCTGGAAGAGAAGACTTCAGCACTAGGGAAGTCACCAAATAATGTATCCCTGCTATCTTCTGAGCCCTCAATGTGAAAATACCAAAACAAATATGCTTTTCTATGCAACAGCGGAATGTTGGCTTCCTCAGAATTCTGCCATGTCCAACCTCACCCATATCCAAGGAAGCATTCTTATCATGCCAACGCTTGTTCTTCACCCCGGAGCACTGCTTTTACATAATATAAAACCAGAATACCTTTTTATCAGAAGAATGTTTAGAGGGGGTGCTTGCCTCATGTGGACATGGGGTTTGTACAAAAACAGGTGGATTCTGAGTCTTACCACAATCCAGCTGGATTCTTATTGGTACGACCAGCCCCATGCCCCAGGAAGGGCACCTGTTATTCAAAGTTCCAATCTATGCTATTATTGTGGTTTGGGTGAGAGTGTGATGTATTCATTTCACTGGTGGGATAGTCTCAAAACCTCCCCCCCCCGACTCTCTCCAGCCCTTACATTCCAAGCATCTACGCGATATAAAAATAAGTTTTGCACTCCAGTGACGTTCCTTTTATTTTTCCAAATTGCTGTTTGACGTCTTCCAACCCAAAAGTCTTTCGGAGCTGAGTTGTAGTTCCTCCTGGGGAACAGCAGGTGGCACTGGGAGACTTCAGATTCTGGGGCAGAGCCTGCAACCAGTTGGCCCCCTTCCAAGCGAATTACTTGAAGGCGCTTCAAGATGGAAGGTGGGGGGGGGGGCAACAAAGCAACCTCATCTAGTCTTCCTGTTGGGTGGGTGAGAAATAGGGGTGGGGTGGGGGGGGGGGGGGGGGCTTTATGCTAGCAGTCACAAAGGGCCGGTCCGCCGGACATACAGGCTGAGCTGGGCCAAAGTGAGGACGCCGCAAGCAGGGAAATGTTCCAGGGTTGGGACTGAGCCACGTTTAGGGCCGGGGAGTCCCACAACGCACTCAGCCCCTCGCCCCGTGACCATAGCTGTTCCTTGCACTGCCGGGAATGTCAGGGGCCTCGTGTTTCACATTCCCAGACCCCGAGGCCTAAATTTAGCCTGCCGCGCAAAAGGCCAGGGGTCGGGGAGAAGGTTAGCGCGGCCCCCCTCCCGCCCACCGGCCCGTTTTTATAGCCCCACGCGCTGCCTTGGCTTCTGCCAGTCACCCAGCAGCCCTCCGGAGCCGCCGTGTCTGCCAGAGTCCCCCCCGCTACACCCACGGTACGCGGGCGCCGGAGACGCGGATGGGGCCGGGGTGGGTTGGAGAGGCCACTCTAGAGGACGGCTTGAGAGGCATATAGCAGTAGCGACAGAGGCGGCGACGAGGGAGATTAGAATCGGTAGCCTACGAGAGGCGGTTTGCAGAGCGGGGGAACCGGGGGTGGGGCAGCAGGAGCATTACCCTTTAGGGTAGGGAAGGGGCTTGTCTGTGAAACGGGAGTGTCGCTGGCAAGATTGTTCTTTTAATTTTTGTAATCTTATTTTTTTTAAAAAAAATACTGTGTTTCTAATCTACATGCCAGTGTAAACTGAGGCTGGGGCCAAAAGCGGACCTTGGCTGCGGTCACACACACTAAATAATCCGTTTTCAATGCACTTTCCAACTGGATCTTGCCAGTTCACACAGTAAAGTCCAGTTGGAAAGTGCACTGAAAGTGGATTTTTTAGTGTGTGTGACCGCAGCCCTTGTCTGGCTGTGTTCCCCTTCTGACAGACTGCAATTGTAAAGGCTTTTAAAAGAAACGCTGGCGTTCATTCCCCGCCCCATTTCTTCCCTTTATTTTTGGGTAAGGCCTAAAACTCTGGATTCTGTGTGCCTGCCAAGAGTTCTGGCTGTCCCAGTCAGGTCAGGAGAAGGCGGAAAGGGACTGACTGGCCTTCCCCCTCCCTCTCCAGCACAGCCGTTTCCTCTGCCCCCTGTCATGACTTGCATAAGTCTTGCGGGGTGGCTGATGGTTGGAGGAAATGCTGTTCCGATCTGCTGGTGTTTGGGGCAGAGGAGCAGCAGAGAGCCGGGCGGCTGTCTCAATCCTTCCTCTGTTGCTTGCCCAATCTGGCTTTGCGAAGTTTCGGGGTGTGCATGTGTGCCAGCAGCCACACCTTCCCATTTTTTGTCCCTTAAACTGGGGCTGTCAAAACCATAACCTGGCCTTGCCTACAGCTCCTTGTGGCATCTCTCTTCCTCCATAACTCTCAGGCTTCTGCCCCCGCCCCCGCCCCCCTTTTCTGTGTGCAAGGCAATTTTCCTAAGTGGGAACTGCAAGAGCTAACTAGAGTACCATGTTGTTGTTTTTACTGGAATGCTAGTTGCTTTTAAACAGAATGGGTTTTTAAGATTTTTGCCTCTTGCTTTGCATTCTGCAGTGCAGATTTTTTTAAGCCTTCCAAAATAATTTTTAAAAACGTCACTAGGGAACATTTCTGAGATAGGACTGCAAGCCCCTCTATGGCAGGGGGGTGTATCCTTTTTTGTATACTAAGCATCAGCTCACTGTGTATTGCAGTTGTTTTTGGAGGGAGTCTACTCTGATTCTGCACATTTCACTGTGCAGTGGTAGCTCAGTGCACATCATAGGGGTATTATTGGCTCCTCGCTTTCACTCCCCTAGAGTTAAGGATCCCAGCTTGTTTGGGGGGAAGGGGACTTTGTGCTTTCAACAATAGCCTGCCATGTAGAAACTTCCATAAAGCTTTTCCTAGTATGGAGATGAAGTGGTGATAAAAAGCTTCCCATCACGAGTTTCTGCTTGGCAGGCAGCTTTTAAGAGATGGAGGAGGAATCCTTCCAGGAAAAACAGACTGGCAATCTGGACCCTGTCTGTTCTCTCCTGCCTTTTTAAATGGTGGGACTGGTAATTTTATTGGGGTGTCTATGTGATATTTTAAGACTTGCTCAAAGCAGCGTAAGCTTTGCAGGATTTATTTTTCCCTTAGAGGTGCATGGGAGAAGTAATACAGAAATGATTACCCGCAGGAGACCTGCAGAATAAGCAGCGTCCCTCTTGTGTCAAGGGCTGGCCTTTCTGATATGCAGAAATCCAAGAGGTGATGGGAATAAACTGACCGTTTAATAGTTGCCTGACAGGTTGTCGTTCCAGACAGGAACGCTTAGGCGGGAAACTTGTTTGATGCAAGGGCTGGGTGGGCAAACAGAGGTCTTGTGAATAACAGTAGAATAGGGACTCTGATCTGTGTGACAAATTGCAAATGCAAAATCAGAGCAGACTGATAGGGTTGCCAGTCTCCAGGTGGGGTCTGGAGATCCTCTGGAATTACAGCAGATCTCCAAACAGCAGAGATCAGTTTCCCTGGAGAAAATGGCTGCTTTGAAGGGTGGCGTCTATGCATTCTACCCCACCGAGATCCCGTTCCACCCCCAAATCCCCCGGAGTTGGCAACTGATCGATTTATGCAGGTCAAAGATAGTTACAAATAAATACTTGT